CTGTTCTAATTCTATTCTATTCTATTCCTCTGAGGATAACTACTAATGTTGGCCTGATAAATCTGAGAGGCGACTCAAGATCCACCAAGATGGAGAAAGGGAGAAAATTCACTGACCTGCCGCCATTTTGAAGTCTTCTGGGGTGATGACCTCCTCTGTCTGAAAGGAAAAAGAAGAAGTTGTGATTAGAGTGATAAGATCTCTCCTCTTCTCTTGAAGGGCATCAACCCAACAGCGGCTCAGGACATGCCTTGATGGCTCCCATCGCCTCGTTCCAAAACCAGGCAGGATAATAATTCAAGGCTGCGGGCAAAAACGAGTCTTTAGGACTTCTCCCAATGTTTCGTTTAAATCCTTCCCATCCTTGTTTTTTAAAGATGTCCCTAACTGCCACCTGAAATGAAACCTTCAACCATCCCTACAGAGGTTGGGGACACCCAATAAAGCAATAACATCAAACACCTTTACCTCAATCAACTCTGGGACACGCAAACAAATCTTGAATTAAGACACAAGGCAACTGATTTATTTCCTTCTTTTTCTCAGCGGGCAGATTCGAGAAGGTTGGACCACCAATGAAGAGGAGGAGATCTTGACGAGTTCTTTTCTCCAACCCTACCTGGTAGGATTCACCCTGGCAACTCTTCCAACAGAGGAAACAAGAGTCCAAGGATCGCTGTCAATGTGTAACCGGGAGGCAGCCTCTGACTCAGAGGCTACGTGAACAGGAGGCAGGAGGAAAAAACACCTCCAGGGTGCATCACCTGGGAAGAGGTTTCCGTGGCAACTGCTTCCTGCCTCCAATGTACCGGCAGGTAGAGAAGCTCAACGCTGTGGGGTTGGAGGCAAGGAAGACCATCGTGGGGAGGAAATTTGAAGCAATGAAATCCCCCAGGAGCTTTCAGGTACCTGCCGGCTACCTGACAGCGAGATTTTGGGTGAAGGAGGGGAATACAAAACCTTTGCCAGATCAAGCAAGATTGTTGGTGGTGCTGTACTGGAAGAAGGAGGAATTGCCTACTATTCAAGAATGGACGTTAAAAGTAGTAAACTTAGCAGAGATGGCCAAAATCTCAGCATATTTGAAGGACCATTCAGATGAGAAATACAAGCTGGAATGGAGAAGATGGATTGACTACATTCAAAATAAATATCGGACTAAGAAATCNGGGAAGGTAACAGTGTTCCGTGCGCCTTTGGCGTTTAGTCATGCCGGCCACTTGACCATGGAGACGTCTTCACACAGCGCTGGCTCTTCGGCTTTGAAATGGAGATGAGCACCGCCCCCTAGAGTCGGCAACGGCTAGCACATATGTACGAGGGGAACCTTTACCTTATTTAATTTAGTCCTTCACTGCTGACCACTCCTGAGCTCAAGTTTTCTGTTGCTCAGCAAGATGGTCGTGAAGTTAGTTTTGCCTCATTGTACGACCTTTCTTGCCACAGTTTTAAGTGCACTGGCTCACTTACTGACATGGTGGTTAAGTGAATCTTGCTGCCCCATTGACTCCGCTTATCAGAAGGTCGCAAAAGGTAATCGCATGGTCACTGCAAGGGTCATCAGTACATACCAGTTTTCAAGCATCTGAATTTTGATTGTGTGACCCTTGGGGAATGCAGCAACGTTTGTAAGTGTGCAAAAGAGTCATCAGTCACTTTTTACGGTGTCATTTGTCACGAGAAACAAATGATTGTAAGTTGAGGGCTGCCTGTACAATGTAGAGGCGGCCTGATTCCAGATGATCTTTACATTGAAAAAGGTAAAAACAATTAAGAAGTAAGATCATGAACGCCCAGAAGGCAAATTCTGTGAGGCAACACAAAACATTCTAGACCCAAAGGTGATTTTTCAAGAGGCAAATGTACTTTTCTTGTTCATCGTGACCTGGATGATTGAGAATAACAATAGCAATAACACTTAGACTTATCTACTGCTTCACAGTGCTTTACAGCCCTCTCTAAGCGGGTTACAGAGTCAGCCCTATTGCCCCCCCCCCCAACAATCTGGGGCCTCATTTTATCCACTTCGGAAGGTTGAGTCAACCTTGAGCCTGGTGGGATTTGAAGTGCCGAATTGCAGGCAGCCAGCAGGCAGCAGAATTTGCCTGCAGTACTGCACTCTAAACACTGCGCCACTTCTCCAGAAAAAAAACATCCTAGACCTGTATGGGTTCCTGGGGAATGCTGTTCCTGCCTTCAAAGTAATCCAGAGAGGAACCCAAAGCCACAAGTACTTAAAACTGCCTTTATTGCAAGGTTGCAATTATGGAGTCTTGGAAGTCTGAAAGCACGTCTCCCCTGGCGTGCCTTTACTTTCTAGAGAACGAGGGAGGGGCCCTTCTGGGATGCTTTCTGTTGTGGCTCAGCAGGAGCCGTTGGAGCTGCCGATGGACTCCGATGGCAAGGAATCCTATGAGTCTGAGATGGAAGATGTGGAGGACCCTGGGTTCAGACACAGAGCAGGGACCAGAGAGGCTAGTTGGCCACCAGGAGGTGCCTGAGGCATGGAACAGTGGGGAAGATCAAAGGGAGTTTGTTCCTGATGCCAGGCAACGTAGGGTGGAGAAA